ACACAGACGCTGAGACACACATTTGTACACACAGAAAACCCATAGAAGCAAAACAAAAAATGTTAATATATACAAACAAAAGATCTGTAAGTTCAAAAAATTCCCCCAACAAAGCATTATGAGAGAAACAAAAACAAAAACCCTCAAATACTGAGTTCACTGGGTTGACCAGCTACTGCTGGCCAGGAGGCCTTTCTTAAGTGTGGTTTGTATACCCACTGAGACTGTACTGGAGAAAACAAACATTTCCTTTATGAGTGGTTGTCTATTGGAGACAGCTTCTGGGTTAGGGATGGGGACTTGTGTCCCGTTGTCCTCTCTGCTCAGCTCTGGGAGATCCTCTGACCCAGACTATTCAGGCCCTGTGCATGTGTGTCTGTGTGCTCATCCGTGTGTCAGTCTGTTGTGCCTAGAAGGCCTTATTTCCTTGGTATCGTCCACTCTCATTGGCTCTTGCAGCCTTTCTGCATTCTCTTCTGCAGAGCTCCCTGAGCCCTGGAGGGGTTTGACAGAGACATCTCATTTAGGACTGAACGTTCCCTTCTCTGCACATTGTCCAGTTGTGATCTCTGGATTATTCCCATCCACTGCATGAAGAAGCTTCTCTAAGGATGGCTGAGTGAGATGCTGATCATATTGGTCATATTTGAAGTTCCATGACTCATTCCATATCACTGATGTCTGAGAAGACGTGCTTGAGAGTCTCTGAGTTTGTTCCTAGGACACCATATTGAGAATCCGTGAGCTCAGAACTAGACCAAGAGATGAGTGGGATCTCGATTTCCCTTCAGGCAGAGAGATCAGGGGAAGCAGAGATGTATCTGACTTTTGCAGAAGATGGTGTGGTGTGTCAGCCATCTCCAGAAATTGACCTGATTCACCCGGGATGGGGCATGTTCTTGTTTGTATTGATAGAAATTCCTTTTGAAGTTGTTTGCTCATTCTGTTTGATCTGCATGACATTGGTTCAAAACCTTCTCCTCTTTCTGCTGTAGATGACTACACTTGCTTGTTTGTTTGTTTGTTTTTCTGGGAACCCTTTTCATCCTCCCACAAACATTAAGAGCCATGGCTCAGGGGAGGAGGGGGAGCAACAACAATGCTACATTTCTGCTTGTTTAAGGTCTTTGGAAAGTACATACATTTTCTTCTGTGAGACAAGGTCTCATTAATCACAGGCTAGTTTTCAACGCTGTGTAGATGAGGTTGACCTTGAACTCCTGATCTTCCTGTTTCCACCATGAGAGTTCTGGGGTGATGGGTGTGCTGAACTGTACTGTGTTATGTGGTGCTGAGGATGGAACTCAGGACTTCGTGGTCATGCAGTCTACCAACTGAGCTACACCCCCAGAGCAGGAACAATTTTTAATGCGCAAATTCTGTGATGTTTGAGAATTCTTTCTGGGACGTCTCTATGGTGTTTGAGTCTTGTTGCTATGGCCACACTGCAAGGAGCTTACCCAGCTAGCAGAGCATCAGCGCTTGTTGTCTGAGGTTTTTGTCACCTCGTCCTTAAAGAAACACACAGAGGTCTACATTAATCATATACTGGTTGGCCTATTAGCTTCTTATTAACTAATTCTTACATCTTACATTAACCCATTATTTTTGTCTGTGTTAGCCCTGCGGCTTGGTATCTTTGTCAGAGAGGAATTCTCATCTTGCTTCCTCTGTGCCTATGTGACAACTGCAGACTGAATCTTTCCTTTTCCCAGAATTCTCTGGTTCTCCTTGCCCCTCCTCTACTTCCTGCCTGGTCATCCCACCTCTACTTCCTGCCTGGCTACTGGCCAATCAGCGTTTTATTAAACAAGTACAAGAAACAAATCTTTACAGGGTAAAACCATTGTCCCACAGCAAGCGCTGACTCTGGAACTGTGCCACGATGCTGAAGCAAAACTCACGGAACAAAGCTATGATGCCAGCACAATTCCTGCTTATTTAGCTTTGTGTGCATGTGTGTGTGTGTGTGTGTGTGTGCATGTGTGTGCATGTGTGAATACATGTGTCTGGAGGTCAGGGGGCCTACTGAAGATGGCTGACTGAACATAGTTTGTTGGGGCCCAGGCATTGGACTAACGAAGGTAGTCCAACTTCCCAGAGGACTTGGGGAAAGGAAAATCCAAATTTGAATGATAAATAAGTCATCCCCAGGAATTATATCAGCCTCTCTGTTCTGCATGACCCCTCTCAGCCTGTTCCCTGACCCCATCCACCTCTGTCTCTGCCAGTCTCATCCTTTCCTGAGTTTTTCTCTCACATCTGGTCTCCTGAAGACTGAGACAAAATGTGGTATCTAGCGTCTGGCACCTGCCACAGCAACTTTCTCAGGGATCTTCTTATTTTGTACCCTAGATGCCTCTTCCATTGCTTCATGTGAGCCCAATTGTTGAATGCCACTCATTTAGCTATTTAGTAGTGACCTTTCTGGACGGGCAGTGTACCAAACATAGGTAGCCAGTCACCATGTTACAGCGCCCAGGTCCTGTTCTTAGTAGGAGGTGTAAAATTCAGTGGGTAAGTTGGAGAGGTGGCGCTAAAACACTCAACTTCTGTGACAAAGCTGGACTTCCTAACTTCAGGTGTTAGACATCGATGGTCCTGAGCTGCTCCAGCCCCTGAAGTGGGTGGGAAAGACAGTTGGCAGGTAAAGGTGTGTGCTGCCAGACCTGATGACCCAGGTTCATTTCCAGGGAGCCACATGGGAGAAGGAAAGAGCTGATTTCTACGAGTTTCCCTCTGACCTAGAGAAGAGAAGGTACAGGGTGGCTAGGAGGGTGTCTGCACCGCCTTCCTTCTTAGGTAGGAAGTTAACAATGGTGGGAAGGGCTGCATAGCCAAGGGGAAGCTGGGAGGACCAAAGGGTGGGGTCCAAGGAGTGGGCCACTAGGACTCTGATACCTAATTGATTGCATTCAGGAAGATGGAACTTGTGAGAACATTAGTTCTTAAGGATCAGCAGCAAATTAAGCAAGATCTCATAGTATGGCCTGGCCCACAATCTTCTTTCCTCTCTGGCAACCTGCTACCCTTCTCAGCCCAAAGTTCCACCAGCGTGCCTGTCTCCAGAGGACACAAAGCGTGCAGCTCTTCCAAGTCCAGCAAAGTAGGTCTTTAGGCTGAGGCTAGCCCACAAACCAGACTTGACCCGCCAGTGCTTGAGAAAGGCCCCCCGAGAGGAAGGAGTGACTCGAAGACCTCGCTGCTCCCACCCGTCTTTTCAGGAGAGTTTCAATTCTGGGTCAAGAGTTGAAACCACCCAGACAAACTACCTCGCCACTCTGGATGATTTGAGGTTTCAGGCAAGGCATTTGCAGAAGCTTGTCTGGCCTCATTTTTCTTAGAGTGTGACTCTGGGAATTTTCACAGGTTATTCTGAGTGTGCTCTGGCAGCCCAGCTCCTCTGTGGGGGAAAGAAGCAGCTTGTGACTCAACACTCATTTTATTTGTATGTAGTTTTGGTCCTGCTTCTGTATTTATTTTTAAAATTTTTACTTCTTGTGTGTGAATGGTATATGTGTGTGTGTGTTTGCATGTGTGTATGTGTGTGTGCCAAACTGTGCACATGGAGGTCTGAAGACAACCTTAGGTGTTGATTGTTGCCTCCCATCTTGTTTGAAACCGTCTCTTGCTAGCAGCTGTGTGCAGTGGCCTAAGAACTTGGGGATTTCCCACCTCTGCCTCCTGCCTTGCTGTAAAAGCCCTGGGATTACAGACATGTGCTAGGTATCCAGCCTTTATGTGGGTCCTGAGAATTCAAACTCAGATCCTCACATTGGCACAGCAAACACTTTAACTACCAAGTCCCCCCAACCCCCTGCTTTTATTTTTAATTGACATGGAATAATTACATATTATGGGGTACAATATGACGCTCTAAAAATTTGTATGTATAAGGTACAATATTCATAGGATAATTGCCATATATTTATTGCCTTAGGCATCCGTTATTTCTTTGACAACAGTTTGAATTTCTGTGACTCAAAAGTTGTTTTTTTACTTTTATTTATGGATGTATGTGTGTACGTGTATACATGCATGTGGGGTGTGCACAAAGGTCTCACGTGTGCCATGACCTACATTAGAGGTTAGAGGATAACTTGTGGGAGTAGGTACTCTCCTTCCACTGTGTGGGTTCTGGGGCTCAAAACTTTGTCAGTCTTGGTGGCAAGGATCTTTACCTTGTAAATCATTTGCCAGTCCAATTTCTGTTATTTTTACCTTGTAACATTTCAGGAACCTGTCTTTAGATAGACAGGTAGATAATGCCTCTCATACCCTGTATACAGTTAAGATTTACATTAAGCATGTACAACAATAAAACAAGCACACTAGCATTATTTCCAAATTACATACGCAACACTGCAGGGTAAAGGGTGCTTTTACATTTTAAAATACCCTGTTTTAATTGTGTGTGTGTGTGTGTGTGTGTGTGTGTGTGTGTGTGTGTCCCGATCATGTGCACATGGATGCAGTACCTGTGGAGACCAGAAGAGGGTGTCAGGTCCCCTGGAGCTGAACTTATAAGTGGTTGAGAGCCACTTACCTTGGATGCTGGGATCTGAACTCTATTCCTCTGTAGCAGCAGTGTGTGCTCTTAACTGCCGAGTCATCTCTTCAACCCTACTTTACGTTTGTTTAAAAATCATGTAAGTCCATGCACACAAAATGAGAGCATACGATTCAGTGGTGTTTATTATAACTGCAATGTGTGTCTTCCATCTGCATCCAGAATGTTTTCATCAGCCCCAAGTAAAGTCTATATCCAATAATAAGGAATTCTTATCATTCCACAGCCTCTGATAACCATGTTCTTTCTCTGTGGACTTAAATATTCTGATACATTGTGAAAATACATTTGTGTGGCCTTTGCTATTGTGTGTGTGTGTGTGTGTTTTTTATGAGAGACAAGGTGAGAGGGTAAGGAAGGGAGGAAGGGAAGAAGGGAGGGGGTATGTGTGTCGATATGAATGTGTACACACCATGGTGTGTTTGTGCAGGCCGGAGGACAACGTTTGAGGATTGGTTCTCTTGCTCCACTGTCGGATCCTGTGATCACACTCAGGTTTGTCACACGTTATACTTACACACTCACTGGCCTGGTGTCTGTTTTAAAAAAAATGTTTAAAAACATTTGTGTGTGTAAATGAGTGTGTGCACATGTCTTTGTGGGTATTCTGTGCATGTATGTGTGTATGCATATGTGTGTGCGTAGGTCAGAGTGCAACCTCAAATGTTATTTCCTCAAATGGAACCATCCTCCTTGTGTTTGAGCCAAGATCTCTCTTCCTGGCCTGGAACTTGCCAAGTGGGCCAATCTGGCTGGCCAGCCAGTGCCAGGGAGCTGCCTGTTTCTGCCTCCCCAGAGAGGGCATCATGAGGGTGAGTTACTAAACCTGTTTTTTTTTTGTTTGTTTGTTTTTTGTTTTTTTATAACAGGGCTGGAGAGATGGCTTAGTGGTTAAGAGCATTGCCTGCTCTTCCAAAGGTCCTGAGTTCAATTTTCGGCAACCACATGGTGGCTCATAACCATCTGTAATGAGGTCTGGTGCCCTCTTCTGGCCTGCAGACATATACACAAACAGAATATTGTATACATAATGAATAAATAAATTAAAAAAAACAACCCCAGGAAGCAAAAACTGATGATAATTATTTCTAAAAAAAATGAATAAAAAAATAACATGGTCTCTTTTATAATGTGGACCCTTGTGCTTGCTAGGCAACCACTTTGCCAAGTGAACTATCTCTCCAGTCTTGGTTTATACTGTTTAATACTAGTCTATAATTATCCAAGTTTCCTTCATATGGAAATATATGTCAAAATGTTCCATTTCTATAATATTTCAACATGTTTACGTCTCATTTTATTGATTTATTCTTCAGTCATTTCTACTTTTTCTTACCACTGTTTAGAAAACCTAAGTGTTGCGGCATCTGAAGCTGAAACGGTGTGACTGGACCACTCCGTGCGATGTTTGGAGGAAGTGGAGATGGTCCAAGGTGCTATTGTGTCGAGTTGGCACCTTCAGATCAAACACAGTTGGCTGTTAGGCCTGTCACTCTCTGATGTGGTTGTTAAACAAAGGTGGCAGAGGTCTTCGCTGTGTTTTACTCTTTTTCTTGCTTAAAAACAGAAAGCCTTGAGCTTCAGTTGTGACATGGGGTCTCCCTTACCTATTTGTGGGTTTTCTTAATGCTCTTAAAGTGAACTTCTCAGGCAGATGGGGGTGAGCATAGTTCCCCAAATCTCTAAAGAGAGATATGACAGAGCTCAGCTGAGACAAGCCAGACACCTGCTTGTGCCCGTTTAGTGTTTGGCTTTGGCTTGTCTCCCATGCTCAGAAGCCCGGCTTTCATCTTCTCACCGAGCACAACATCTGTTTGGACCAGAAGACTGGAAGACTAATGGCACCAAGACGGAGACTCTCCCTCTCAGGCGCATTTCCTTCTTCGGCTGCAAATGAAGCAGAGCAGAGGGGCCTCAACAGAAAGGACTGTGCTGGGGAGAAACACAAATGTCGTGTTTGCCGCTCAGGGGCAAGAAAACAGCATGGGAAAGGCGAACTAAATGCTGTCTGACCTGGCTGTGGGCAGAGGTGCTCTTTCCCTGTGGGGGACTCTCTCAAGACTGTTAGAGCTGAGAATCAGGGTCAGTGCGCCTTGACTTTATCCCCAGAGGATGGAATCCTGGTAACAGATCTTTGGAGAAGAACCTTCCCCATGGTCCATTTACTGGAATAAAATCCAACCATAAATATGTTCTGAACCTGTTTATTAGAAAGGTGATTTGTGGGTAAGCTAGGGAGGTACCTCGATAGGGAAGGTGCTTGCCACTCTGAGGAGTCGAGTTTGCTCCACAGAACCCATGTAAGAAGGCTGTGTGGAGCTATGTGCACTTGTAACCCAGTCACTGGGGGAGCAGAGACGGGAAGGTCAGTGGGGCTGATGACCAGCCAGCCTAGCTTAACTGCTGAGCCCTAGGTCCCCATGAGAGACCATCTTTCAAAAAACAAACTGCATAGCTCTGGAGGATGCCATGGTTTGACCTCTAGCTTTCACATGCGTGGACAGACAGACACATGCGTGGACAGACACATGCATTCATACTTGCACACATCCACCTGCACACCCACGTTTACCCTCCCTCCTTCCCCACAGAACACGATTGGGGGAACCATAGCATCCTGCAGCTATAGCTGAACTGCCATTTGAGTTCTTCATTTGGAATGTAACTCTGGATTTTATTTAGTGCTCCTACCTTTTTTGACTTGGTACTGGAGCTTCTGCCATTTCTGGGGCTACCTACAAGCCCTCCAGCAAGGCGTATTGATCCCCCACCTAATACTGCAGTGTGGTATGGTAGAAGAGCAGCAAACACGGGTCTAGTTTTAACACAGCCAGTCATCATTTTAGCCTCGTGGTCTCTAGAACAAAGGGAGGCGGGTCCCAAAGTTTCTTCTGTAGACTCCGAGAGTTCTTTGATCATCAGCTGAGGCTGATGGAACTCTAGGCTACAGGCCGTCATTTCAGGAAAACCTTGGCAGGAACTCCAGAAGCTAGCCACATCACATCCACAGTCAAGAGCAGAGAGAAATGAATGTACCCCATTTTGCCTACTTGCTTAGTACTCAACTAGCCCTTACCAGCTCGTCTACACCCCCAAACTAGGGAATGGTGCTGCTCACAGTAGGTAAGGCCCTTCTGTATCAAGTGACAATCTACCATCTTTATAGACATTCCCACAGACATGCTGATCCGGCCTAGACAATTCCTCAATTGAAACATTCTTTCCAAGTTAATATTTAAGACTAACCAGCACAGCCTCATAGGGTACTGATGTAGATGATGTGGAAGGTGGTTTAATACACTGGAAACAGTTGGAGAAAGGCATTAGCTCAATGGTGTGATCCAGATCCTGCCTATTATACACGGGATTGTTCCTAGTCTCAGGACAGTGTTACTCAATAGCTCTTGGCTTCTTTCGTTTTCTGATTCAGGGTCTTATGTAGTCCAGGTTGGCTCAAACTTGCTATGTAACCAAAGACAATCCTGAACACAAGGTCCTTCTGTTTACAATTCCTTAGTACACAGTACATCACTATGCCTTGTTTCATGCAGTAGTGGGGATGGAATCCAGGTCTCTGCACATGCCAGACAAGTTTTCTGTCAACTGAGCTATATCTCCAGCTCCTTGATGGTCCCCGCTTAGAAAAGGAAGTCCATACTTGACCCCCGACACCATTGCAGCTAGCCCTTTAACCTTTTTACTAAGTGTTCCACTGTCAACAAACAGCACAATGGTAGGAGGTTTGAAATACATTTCCTTTTCCTGATCTTTAGTAGAGCGCTAATGGTTTCAGTGAAAGACCAAAGGAGTGGCAGGAAAAGACAAGTCCTATGTGCCAGTGCAGTCAAAGGCTATTTATAAGTTCAGATACTGTAAATCTTCCAGGTGTTGGGGTAAAGGCTTCTACCCTATACAGCCCGTGAGGAAGCTGAGCTCGTTGAGTCTTGTCGTGAGCACCAGAAGGCAGCTTTCCGGTTTCTTTTCCACGCATTCTGTGTGTTGGTGAAGAGAAGGAATTGTCAGAGCATTTGAACAGATGGACACGTGAAACGATGTCCTTTGATGATGGAAGGCTGCGCCTGCCTCAAGGGTTCTGACTATAAAAGACACTTTGCCAAAATTACCACGATAAGCAGTGTTCTTTTGCCTTTCCCAGGATTTTCTGCTCTCTGCCATTGCTCACCAGAGCTGCAGTTCTGTCCGGCCTCCTCTTTCCAGACCATGCGCTGTCTAGTGGTCTCTCACAGCCCCGGCTCTGCCCCCCTGTTTCCATCCTTCTATTAACAATGTATGTCCTCTGCCCCGCCCCCTGTTTTCAGTACTGGGATTTTTGCAAAGTCAGGGCAAACAGTTACTAACAAGCAATACCTCCAGTGCCTGTGTTTTAATTTTCTTATTCTACATTTTCTGGAATTTATGTCTGATTCCTCTTCAGTCTTCCATTTTTCATTCCTTCGTTTACCTATCTGTCCCTTTATCTCTCCTCATCTACCTTATTAACCATTCATCTACATACCCACCAATACATATATATCCACCTACCCACCTATCTAATCTATCCACCCACCCATCCATTCTCCCTCCCTCCCTCCCTCCCTCCCTCCCTCCCTCCCTCCTTCCCTCCCTCCCCTCACCTACCCATCTTTTACACAACAACCCATTCATCCACCCACCTACCTATCTATTCAACCATCTGCCCACCTAGCCAACCATCAACCAATCATCCATTCATCTCATCTATCCAAGCAACCATCTTCTCACCTATCCAAATATCTAATCATCTTTATGAGTGATTTGTCTTTAACAACCTTATATTAACTGTTCCTCGGTTTCTGGTATGACCATAGGCTAACAGGGTAGATGTTTAGGGAGGACATTCAGTGGCTTTAATCGTCTTATGTTCTCTACTTAACCTTAGAACTGGCCAGGTTAGATTTACAATGTCAGAATAGGAGTCGACTTGAAGATGGTTCTGCTTGGTGTGCAGTCATTTCTGCCTAACCACAGTCATTCTAGAGTGTGATGTAACCTGAGTCTGTGGCAACAGAGGCCCTGCCACCATGGCTGGAAAACCCAGGACTCGGGCAAGTGTGAGGCCTCTGTAAGGCCTTTGCTCTGGGTCTAGTCTCTGACCTCCTCTCAGGGAGTTTCAGTGGCAGTCTCTCCTGCGGTCAGGTCACTGGGATTGTGGGTAAGATCTTTCCTGTCGTGATTTTCACTCTGATTAACTTGGCTCTGAGGAACTGCTAACAGCCTCTCAGAGACTTGGTCAGCCTGGGAAAACCAGCTCCTCTCTGGGTCTGAGTTAATCACTGTGTAGCGGCTGATTTGGGGATAAAATACATTCCTTTTCACGTCAGACATATCAGCCCAGTCTCTCCTGGTGCATCTTGGGCTTTCTCAGTTTGGGTATCTCAGCATCACTGGGACAGCCAGCTAAGAGGAGTGTGGTTGGCTTAGGTCTTGATGTGTGAGTTACTTCTGGGCTTGGTGCCACTCAGCTCTGGCTATAATCAAAACCTGCAGCTTAGTGGGACATCCTCTTGTTCCAGATGACTCAGTGTGCTGGGGCAGCTGGTAGAAGTTTTGTTTATAACAGCCCTGCCTACTCACACTGACACTCCAGCTCCCACAAACCACTTCACAGGTGCCCCAAGTTTTGGAGCATATAACATTTTGTCAACTGTTGCTCTTTTTTATTCTGCCTTTAAAAAAACTTACCTAAACAAAATTAAGCTGTGGGAGTCCATTAATAAAAGGTTTCTATAACAAAATTATTGGCACACTGCAAGGGGCTTTGGAGGAGAGCGGGGAGATCAATATTCCCTGGAATAAACTAGCAGGGCAGGCATTACTCGGGGGAAATTTGCTCTTAAGTCTGAAGGGAATATAGATTTGCACCTGGGCAGTCAATGTTAGAGTATGAAGAACTGTGTATTAGAATCAGCAGGCTGGGAATTATTTCAGGAGACTTCAGAGACTCTAAATGTGCTCGAAATAAAAAAAAAAAAAAAGCAAGCAAACAAACAAAAGCTGTAGCCAAATCTTTTCAGAAACTAGGAGCCAATATTTGCACAAATAGGAACCAGAAACTAAAGGATGCAGATCTAACAGATTCAAAGACAGAGGGGTTGGTTCATCTGTGGATGCCTTCAAGGCCACAGAAGTGGTGGTGACGAAGTCTGCCTCTGGGAGGAAGGGAGCGGAGGACGAGGAAGAAAAGCAGCCCGCTACATGGGTGGCTAATGGGAAGCTGTCCCTCTTCTTATGCCTGGATCCTTTTCGTGTCTCTTGGAAACTTCAGAAGAATATGTGAGTGGTTAGGGAGCACAATAGAGCCTGGCCATAAGCAGTTTGATGTAATGGGGGTGCAGTTGGCCCTCTGTCTCTGTCCTGTGAGCCAATTAACCTGCAGGCTGATGCAGTACAGCTGGCAGCTAGTCTGGCTATTGTTGGAGCAGTGCACAGGCCTCGAAACCATTTGCAGATTGTTGAGGTGGAGATCTCTAGGAGGCTCTAGATAGCTCTCGGTGTGAGAGAGCCTGTTCTGTAGCAGCTGTGGCTACAGATTAGTGGGTGTAGCTTCCAGGATCCCAGAGATTTGGACTGGAAGCCCTGGGCATCTCAGGTGATTGGCAAAGAAGGTGAGGAAGAAGAGGGGAAGAGAAAGAGAACTCCCAGGTGAAAAAATAATGTATAAGGCACGTGCAAATACACGTATTTGCATGCCCTGTCACACACTTGTACCTACACACACTCACATGCACACACATTTACCTACATGACATGAACACATACGTACCTACATGCTTACTCACATATATGTACCTACATATGCATGAACACACATATACCTATAGGCCCACTCACACACATGCACCTATATGTGCTCACATGAATGCCTGCACATTTACCTATGTGCACACAAACACACATGTACCTACGTACACACAAACACACATGTACCTACATGTATATGAATACACATGCACCTACAATCTCATGAGTATATAAAATGTATGGGCTGTGGGAGGAACTAGGTGGGAAGGCCAACTACAAAAAAATGATTGTATTTTCCCCTGGTTTACTTGTTTTCTTCCACAGACATCACTGTCTCAAATCTCATCATATCACTAAATATTTGCATGAGCTGCTAGGAAATCTGAAATGTTCGTT